GTCAGTATTTATATATATATATGTTAATGTGTGAGTTTACGTATGTGTGTATGTCTCTCTCTCTGTGTGTGTGTGTGTCTGTGTATCTTTGCGTCTGTAAACTATTTGTCTTACCAAATCGTATTGGAACTTAATTCCTTCGTTAATGTTCGAGCATCAAATGCAAATTGGATTTGTAAATTTTACATATTTTCATTATTTCTTTTTATTTCATTTTATTTCCTTTTCTTTTTGTCTTCCTTTCCTTCTTCTTTCTTTTTTTTTTTTAATTTTTTAGCTTCTTTTAACTTTATTTTTTTGTTTTTGTTTTTATTTACTCATATTTTGTTCCTAATATGGAAATAATTTAGTGTTATTCATTCGTTCGAATAAATTTTGATAAAAGAATCGATCGAAATATAAAATATTGATGTACGAACAATCTACGCAACGTACGGATTTACATAATGTAAAATTAATTTGTAACGTTTGATAAACGTATTAATTTATAAAAATAATTAGTGAAAATAATATAATATTATATTCGTTAAATTAATTTACTATAAATCGTGATATAATAATATTTTAATTTTTCAGCAGTTGTAAAATCTGTGATAAATTTATAATCGAGCGATTTACGATTTATACGGGGTGTTCAAATAATTTATCTTGGAAAAAATTAATTACGTTCGTCGATACTTTTTCTTTTCTTATATCATTTTAAAATAAATATCTTTCAGATTAATTTTATAAAGTTTCATCTTTCTTTCATGATATTACATCGAGATTTGATAACGTTTATTTAAAAAAGAAAATAAATAAATAAATAAATACATACATATATGAATATATATATATATTTTAATTATCATAATTTTATTTTTTTTTTTTTAAATATATTTATTAAAAGTTAACTTATTAAAAATTTACTTGATTATTTAAAATAAATTACATGAAATAAATTTATTTAAAAAAAAAATAATTAAATAAATAAATGAATATATATATATAAACATTTATTATAATTATTATAATTTTATTTCTTCTTTTTTAAATATATTTATACAAAACTTATTTATATATTTGAAATAAATTATCTTAAATATATTTATTAAAAAAAAAAAAAGGAAATAAATAAATGAATGAATAAATAAATAAATAAATAAATAAATAAATAAATAAATAAATAAATAAATAAATAAATAAAGTACATAAATATATTTTATTATTTATTATGTAAAAGTTGTACGTAGGAAAATATGTAAAAGATTAAAACAGACGAACGATTTCGATAGTTTACGATACGTAACACTTTACGTGGCCACATTGTATATAATCTGTATATAAAACTACGTAGGTGGTAGTTTCGACACCCCCGCATGACCAAGCAGATAACGATCATTGAGTTCATTGTCGCATCAACGTAATATCCTGTATATCTCTGAACGCCCACCTCCGCCCACCTTCAGTCCATCCACCCTACCGTTTTCTTTTTATAAACGAATAAGGGTGGAGTTCTTCATAAGGATAGAAAAATAAGACAAGGGGATGAAAGGACACGTTGAAGTAAGAAGGAGTTGGATGAGGACGAGTGCGAATCCTTTTTCAAGAGTACACCAGTCACATTGACGGTGAATGTCAACGAACGGGGTAAATGGGAAAGGAGGGTAGATCGAGGGTGAGGGTGCACTAAAAGCCCCCGTTTATGACTTTTGGCTAAAGACCGAGCCCGATTAGATCAGTGGTGCTGATTATCACCAATTCGATCTTCGTCTTCCTTCACCGTTTGACAAATTTTTTCATATCTTTTTATTTATTTGTTATATATATATATATATATATATATATATTTATTATATGTTGTATTTTATATATATATATGTTATATATTATTTATTTATTTTAAATTTTTTTCTACTTTATATTATGCATTAATTATTTCATTAATTTTTGATTTTTTTGGAGATGATAATATTTAGATATTAAAACAAACAAAGAAAAATATATATATATATTTATTTGTAAATGATTTATTTGTAAACTTTTATTTTTTTGACAAAATTTCTGAAAATCTTTTTTGTTTAATAAAACAACATATAATATGAAAATATAATTACGTATATTGATTTATAATATATCTATTTTTTAATTAAATGAATATATGTACATGTATATATATATATATTGTTTTATAAGAATTAAATAAACGTATATAAATTAAATTGATAAATTAGATTGTAAAATCTAATTATTAAATTGAAAAAAAGAAAAAAAATCAAGAATTCTGACCATTTTGAAACTGTAATACTAATTATACTTTCCAATTTTAATTTATTGATTGAAGTCTAACTCTAGTTTTATTGTAACAAATAGAGTCTAACTCTATTTATTACTTTTTTTCTTTTCCTTTTCTTTCTTTAACCACTTTTAAATTCAATAACAAAATATTATTATTGTCACACAATTATTTCCTATAAGTATATAATTTTTACACTATAAAACATTTGCATAATAATGGTCTGTGTGTAGTTTGTGTATGTAAGTAAAAAAAAAATAGAAAGTAAACAAAAAGAAAAAGCAGAAAAAAGAAGCAAAGAACACACGTTAAAAATTGAATTTATTTCTTTTTTTTTTCTTTTTTTTTTTTTCTTTTTTTTTTGTCAATTTTACGACAAACGTCAGTCAAAATTACAACTCTTTGTTCGAGAAGTTACGAAACAGAATAGATGGACAAAAAAAAAAGAATAAAAACGTTCGAAGTGAGGGTAAAAAGAGAGAGCGAAAGAGAGAGAGAGAGAGAGAGAGAGAGAGAGAGAGAGAGAGAGAGAGATAGAGAGAGAAAGAAACAGGAAAAAAGAATAAAAAAAAAAAAAAAGAAACAACACAACACGAAGTAGTCGATCGGTGTCGACTAGCGTCATTCGAACGACATTGTATAAGGGGTGAACAGGGGAAGGAATAGAAGGGTGGTCTAAAAGCTTCGACCATGCATTTCAGATAAAGACCGACATGGACGAAGCGTTAATTATCGTCCTAGCTGGTTTCATCGTAAATCGACATGCGAACGTGTCATGTGTGATCCTTGGGTTGATTGTCCCTTAAATAATCCTACTGATTGTCGAAGGAAAGAGGATAATACAAAGAAAAAATAAAATAAAATAAAATAAAATAAAATACAAGGGAGAAGGAATATATTCTCAACGCAATCTCAATCTACCCTTTTGAAAGAAAATATTATTACATATTTTCATAATTAACGTCGTTTATTTCATTAATACGTCTTCATTATTTCATAAAACGTCGTTTATTTGATTAATATATCTATAGATATATAATTTTGTAAAATTATATTTTACATTAAATGTAAAAATATTGAAATACGTTCGAAGGAAAAATATTTCTTCGAAAATATTATTATCGATTAAAATAAATTTTCACTTTTTATTATTATTTTTTTTTCTCTTAAGTTAATGTCTATTTAGAAGATTATTGTTTTATTGTCAATAAAAAATATATTTATTTAAAATATATCTATGTATGTTATTATATGTAAATGTCATTGATGAAATAAATTGTTTAAAATATTGTAATATATTCGTGAGGATATATTTATTTTAAAAATGTTTACTGTCAATATCGAATAAATATATTTAATTCAAAAATTATTCGACGAACAAAATGTTTTACTTTTAAATAATACAAATAAAATAAAAAATTATTTACACTTATATTTATTATTATTTTTATTATTTATTATAATTGTTAATATAATTATTACTATTATTATTATTATTATTATTATTATTATTATTATTATTATTATTATTATTATTATTATTATTATTATAAAAATGGATTACATTAAGTAAAAATAATTCTTATCTTTTAAATTATTCATATAAATTATTTTTAAATAAAATAAAATAATTATATATATATATGAATATATTTCATTACTTCATCATAATTATATTACATTATTATTATTATTATTATTATCATTATTATTAATTAAATATATAAATATATAATTGTTAATTGACATATATATATATAACAATTAATATTAATTTGTTCTTTCAAATTTTTAATAATTCAAATAACTATAATATTCTGATTTTTTCGTTCGAATTTGTTGGCCATTAGCAAAAATGCTTTATGAGCTTTATGAGCTTCAAGTTGCAAGTGAAATGAAATTCATGCAAATCGTTATAAAGTCAGTTTCTCTTCGGTTTGTTACCATCATCGTATCACTTTTGTATCAAATAGACGATGCGTTATATCCTATGGAGTTTAAACGCACGTTTAGTTATTCAGAAATTTCATCGTAAATATATATACGAATAATATCATTATAATGTATAAAATAATATAATGTAAATATATATATATATATATATATATATATATATATAAAATTTTATATTAATTATATTATTAAATGATCACTATAATATTTATAATTGTGTAAAATATAATAAAATATAATTTAAAATAAAATTTTAAATATATTCGATATAATTAAATAATATATTTACTAAAAATATTCTTATATAGTAATACATTAATATTAATTATATACATATACAATAATTATTATTATTGTATATAATGTGATTTGATAATATTGTTGATACTATATCTTATATCTTTCAATTATATCCTATATATTATTATTCTCTATTATTATTATTATATTATATTTAATTTTATTATATTAATTTTATTTATTTAATTCTATTATTTAGTTCTATTGCAAGTAAAAACTTAATAATAAATTAATAAAATAAATATTATATAAAATAAATATTAAATTGTAAACATTTATATGCTTGCTTAATTTTATTATACATAAATAAATAAATAAATAAATAAATAAATATATATATATATATATATATATATGCGTACATATTTAAATATGAATTTGAATGAGTTTGTTGTTCTAATGTAGAAATTAATTATTAAAAAAGATTAATTATTAACTATTAAAAAAGTTTTATATTTATTTTTGATTTCAGGACAGGCGAAAAATGGACCGAACTATGGAAGGGAGATCGGTTCGTTTCAAGAATATGCACATGGTATCAAAGGGATTATATATGCCGCAGACGATAGTACGATATTCATAAAAGGATTCTCTTATGATGGAAGAGGTCCAGATGCATATTTTTGGGTCGGCAATAGTACAAGACCCAGTCCCGACGGTTACATCGTACCATATCCCGAAGATTACAAGGGCAGGTAAATAATCTTTAAGTGTATAACAATTTAATATGAACTTTTTTATATATTCCAATTGAAAATAAATAAAAAAAAAAAAAAATCAAAAAGAAAATCTTTATCCAGTCAACTGCATATCTAGTAACGAACGAATCTTTTCTTTTTCTTTTTTAAGAAAAAAAAAGAAAAAAATATATATATATATACATAAGTTAAAAAAATAAACAAATAAAAAATATTAGATAAAGTAAAACAAGAATCGCACGATACGATTCGTAGAAAAAAAAAAAAAACAAAAATTTTTGTTTTAAATACGAATGCGAGACGAATGAAAAAAAAAAGAAAAGAAAAAGAAGATGAAAAAATAAAGATAGAAAAGAAACTAAAGTAGAAAAGAAGAGAACATTTAAAAGCTTTACAAAATCATTTGTTTCTTCAGATGTGATCGTTAAAAAAAATACAAAAATACAAAAATAAAAAAAAAGATATATATATATATATATATATATATATAAAGAAAAACAAAAGAAAAAAATTTAGAAAGAAATCGTCCCTTCGATAAATTAGAAAGATTTAGAACGATTTTTAACTCTACGTTATATGTCTATCTATCTATCTCTATCATCGATAAAAACATACATTGATGACACATTGGATGTACATATGTAATAATAGTACACGGTTGATTCGGATCGTAATAAAGTGCTCGCAGACACGAGAATCCGGACGAGATCGGCGTATAATTCCCGTTTTATTAACTGCGAGCATCCCTAGCTCGCGATCCATTCGTCCGGTCCGTGTCCCTCTTTCTATTTCCCTTTTGAAATACCCCCACCCCATATCATACCAACCATCCCACTCCTTACCATTTCCCTCTTACCCTCTATTTCTATCTCTTTCTATCTATCTATCTACACGACACACACATACACATACACACATACACACACACACACACACACACACACACACACATACGGATTTCTATTCAACACAAGTAACGACACACTTTTCCTCGTTGGTTCCATGCTACCGAGCACAACAAGCTCTTTGAGTTTCATTTCGTCCGTTGGTTACGGACTACCGCGTTTGCCCACCACCACCACCATCACTACCATTTACTATTACTACCATCACCACTATCATTATTACTACCACCATCACTGCTACTACTACTACTACTATCATATAATCATCATCACCACCATCACCGACGCCTTCGTCCATTCCCTTGCTTTTAGGTTCATAACTCTTAGTACGTATGCGGTCCCTGACCACATCTACAACTTCCTTTTGTGTTGTCCTCCCTTCGCTCACGCTAAGATATGTGCCTCTAACACACCTATCCTCCTCTCCCCCTCCCCAATCCCCTACCTCGGTCAATGAAAATGATTAAACTTTGGTAAATCGTCTTTAATCGTTGATCACGGAGAATAACCAAGAGATTAATGGATCTCGTTATATGTTATATTTATTTGTATTTCTATAAGTTCTATTTCCATCGACTCTTTTTCTTTTTTCTTTTTCCTTCCTTCCCGTCCCCCCCCCCTCTCCCCCTCACCCACCCGTAGGAAATACTTCTTTTTCGAAAATGAAATTTTTCCACCGTCTTCCTTCTCCCCTTCCTCGAACTACCCCTTTGGTCATCATATCTTAATAAACGATCGTTTAATATTAATAATATTATTGAGTTGTTACGTGTTAATAAATGTTAATAATGTTGATAATGCTATTAATATAGTAATATTATTATTATTATTATTATTATTATTATTATTATTATTATTATTATTATTATTATTATTATTATTATTATTATTATTATTATTATTATTATTATTAGCGAAGTATTTATATAAATTTGATATTTTTGGGAAAAGTTAGTAAAACGTAAAAGTATTAGTTTAGAATATACTTAATAGATTTTATCGATTGTTAATTGATTGATTGATTGATTGATTGATTGATTGATTGATTGATTGATTGATTGGACGAGGGGGGTTAATCATTGAATTACAGACTTTATCGGTTTTCATTTGAAGAATGTTATATCGAAAATTATATCAAAACTTTTTCTATAATGATTATATTATGAAAATCATTTTATCGATCAGTTCAGATCTAATCGTTTGACGCGACAAAGAAAATCGTGGAGTTGATTTTAGATTTTTTTCTCTTTTTTTTTTTTTTTTTTTTTTTTAATATGTACATATATTATTTATTTTCTTTTTTCTCTTTATTGAAAGAATTTCAAAAAGGATATTTCCATCGGTATATCAATTTATAAGATAAATTGATCGATTTTGGCCCAGAATCAAATGATTTCGATGATTAATTCGATGTTTAATTGAATTTTTTTTTTCGTTGAGAGAGAAGAGAAATTGATCTAGAAAGCAAACATTGTTCTTTGAAAATCTAAAAAAAATTGAAATCCATCAATTAATTTTTTTCGCAGACCATAAGATCAAGTTACATCGACTAAAATATAATTGAACAAGTATCCTTTTTGAGATGTTTGGGGAGGGTGTGTGTGTGTGTGCGTGTGTGTGTGCGTGTGTGTGTGTAGTGGTGAAAATAAAAAAAGAATTTTCAATTATTCAATTCCGAGCTATCTGAATTGATGAAATTGTTTCTCTCGCTTTTGTTTCTTTTTTCGTTCCTCTTTTTTTTTTTTTCTTTTTTTGTCACAGAAAAGTTTCTATGAATGACGTTGTTTTATCATTTTCGTTCTAATCGCGAAACAATATAGATATCAATACGATATTTAAATATAATTGTCGTTCGATTGTAATATCGATTTTTCTTTTTCCATTTCCCAGAGATCCACCAGTATTGAAGGCATTCGACAATGCCGACATTGTCTTAAGGTTACCACAAGGGAAACGCTTGCGAGACATTAAATGGCTAAGCGTTTGGTGCAGAAGATTTACCGTGAGTATATATCGATCGTTATATCATGAACTTTAAATAATACATAACCGACCTACGTAACGTAAATCATAAAGATTATTATATCAACAGCTCTGAAAAAAAAAACAAAAAAAAAAGAAAAAAAACAAAAAAGACAAAAGAAAAAGAAAAACTCAGGAATGAAATTGAAATTATTATCGATTGAGATTTATTAAATTGTTATAATAAATCGGGATGTTTCTTAACGATCATCTAAATCAATTTAAACCTTCTTCGTTTAAAGATTAGATATTAACTGGCAATAAAACGTAATAAAATCGTATTGATTATTATTATAATTAGGACAGAATATATTTTTATTTTTTTTTATTTTTCTTATTTTTTTTTTTTTTTTCTTAGTATGTTTTTATCGAAGAAGATTTTCTTGCTTTAATTATTAGATACAAAAAAATAGAAAATCGCAAAACACAACGAAGTCATAAAGATTATTATACTGGAATAATTAAATAAAATACAGATCACGTTAATGCATTTATTCTCTGTTTTACTTATAAGATTTATCTTATAATGAATCTAGATAGATTTAATACCGTAATTAATTTTCAAATAATTAGGAGAAAATATTTCTTGTCGATTTTTCTAATTCGAATATAATTTTTTTGTTTCAATTATCAGATATAAAAAAGTACAATTATCAATACAACGGAATATTAATTAAAAATTTCAAACAGAACTAAAACATCATCTTAATGAATTTATCTTTTCATAATTTATTATCGATTACTATGACTTATTTAAAGACTATGACTTATGATTTATTAAAGACTATGAGTACGAAATATTTCTTTTCAATATGTCTAATTCAAGGAAGATTTCGTTGAATAAAAAAAAAAAAAAATTACGACCGTATATGCAACGAAGTCGTCAAGGTTAACATACGATAAACTCGTTAAGAGAATACAAAAACGAAAAGAAAAAAAAAAAGAAAAAAAAACAGAGAGAGAGAAAAAGAAAAAGAAAAAGAAAAAGAAAAAGAAAAAACTTGGAAATAAATTTATCCCTAGATCAATTGATCCTAGTATATAATCAGCATTAATTCAGATTTAATCCACCATCTTCTTATATAAATAAAGATTAAAGAGAGAGAGAGAGAGAGAGAGAGAGAGAGAGAGAGAGAGAGAGAAAGAAAGAGATAGAAAAGTTTCAGTTCTTTGACGTGAGGGTTGGCGAACCCCTAGACGGAGCCCTTTATTTTAAGCGGCACACGATGCACGGAAAATGGAGATAACTTGATTTTTTAGAAGGAAGGGGAGAGAGACAGAGATAGAGAGAGAGAGAGAGAGAGAGAGAGAGGTCCATGGGCCCTATCGGATGGGCGCATTCGTGGTCAATGGCGCGTGTGAGATGGATACGGAAACTAAGGATGAACGAAGGAAAAGGAGAAGGAGGAAAGGGAAAAGTTATGGATAGAGGATAGGAAATATGAGTACGAGGAATGATGATGGTAGGGGAGGTGGAACGTGGATGTAGTTATGACATAATCGTAAGCTCGCGAATAGTATGGGTCGAGTATTAAACTGTGCCGGCTGGCCATAACTATACGTAGATATTCGTACGTTTTAAGGGGAGGGGGCAAAGGGAACGGGGAGAGCAGGGTGAGTAGGTGAAAGGATGATGAGAGTTAGCGATGATGATGATGATGATGATGGTGGTGGTGGTGGTGGTGGTGGTGATGGTGTTCTAGGAGAATGAGGGTAGTAAGGTTGGTTGGTTGGTTGGTTGGCTGGTTGGTTGGTTGGATGGATGGTTGGGATGAAGAGCCGAAGGGTAGCTTTGAGACGAGCATATCGAGGCTTCGAGAGGAAGAGAGCTTTTGCTCTTATATTAGGAGGGCTTTAATATCGAAGTCTGAGGGGTGCTCCCGTACCGTGACAACCCTCCATCAGACACGCTCTGTCACCGCAAAACGCGCCCTCTGTGTCCATCCTACCGACGACGGACCTCTCGGCTCTTATACCGGGTGTCTCTTTGACGACAGAGAAAAAGAGAGAAAGAGAGAGAGAGAGGGAGAGAGAAAGAGAGAAAGAGAGAGAGAAAGAGAGTGTCTCATCGAACCTTCTTCCCTCCGCACTCCACCCTGCCACCCTCCTTCATCTCACGGCTTCGTCATAGCTTCGTTTTATCTCTTTCTCTCTAGCTCTTTATCTCTATCTCTCCTTTCTCTCTCTCTCTCTCTTTCTCTTTCTCTCTCTTTCTATCTATCTATCTCTATCTATCTTTTTTTTCGTTTCACGATTATTGGTTATATTCTATGAGCTGATATGTATGTATACTCTCTATTCATGATCGAGGCTATATATAAAGATTGTTCTTTTCGAATCTAAAGATTATGTTTGTTAAAAATTTGATCCCTTAAGCCTCTTCCACGTTAATAATACTAACTGCATAGTTAGTCCTACATATAGATAAGTATTTTCTTTTTTTTCTTTCCCCAATTTAATACAATCGATACGCGTTATCAATTAAATGTAATATCGAAAAATTATAATATGAGTTAATACGCGCGCACGCGCACATATTATTATTATTAACATTAAATGAATATTATAATTTATCGTGTTAATTTATGATTATAGATATAACAGTGTTTATGTTATTTAACGTAATTGTCGTATAAAGTTTTATCGTATTTAAACGTTTGACCGATCGTAGAAAAACGATATCCCTTTCTTTATAACTTTAAACTTCCACTCGACAATTCTTATTAAGGAAGAAAGAAGAAGAGAGACGGAGAGAAAGAGATAGAGATAGAGAATGAGAGAGGAGAAAGAAAAAGAGAGAGAGAGAGAGAAGAAAGAGTGACTTTATTCTTAAGTCTCGTTTAAAACTCTTTCTTTAATAGGTTTTCTCTGTGAAACTTTTGCAAGAGATTTGATCCCTCTCTTCTCTCTCTCTCTCTCTCTCTTTCTGTCTCTCTTTCTCTTTCTCTCTCTCTCTCTCTTTCTCTCTTTCTCTTTCTATGGCAATTCGTAATATTTATCTCTTTCTATCTCTACGTTTGAAAATTGATAGAACCGAAGGAGGACCCGTAAATAATCATGACCTAATAACATTTTTTATTTATCTTTTACAAGAGAAACAAAAAAAAAAGAAAAGAAAAGAAAAGAAAAGAGAAAAATTAGCTTGAAATAAGCGAAAAGTATATCAACCAATGGCAAAGCCTCGTCGTCGTTCTGTTTTATTGATTTTCCACTTGCTACGTTGTTTATTCCACTTACACAACCCTCTCCCTTCATCCCCTTCCTCCCATTCCTGCTCCCCTCATTGCACTCCTCTATCACTTTAATTTCAACTAAATTATAAACTTAATGTATGATTTAGTATGATGAACGAATCTCGCGTAAAATACAAGCGTATCGTTTGATCGATAAGTTTGTGTGAAAAAAGAAAAAAAAAGAAAAAAAAGAACAAGAAAGAAAAATACAAAAGGGTTTCTTTACCTTCAATATCATTCAAATCTGTTTTTTTTTTTTTTTTATAAGAAATAACCGTGATTTAATTCCTTTAGTATTCGTAATAAAATTCTTATTTCTAATTATTCTAATTCCATTTCTATTAAAATTTTATTTCATATTATACATGTCGTAGAATGTTTTAATTAAAAAAAAAAAAAAAAAAATAAATAAATAAATAAATAAATAAATAAATTATTTCTTTCCATCTGTCGTTCACATCTAATTCAAATATTTTTGTTCAATTTACTTCTACAATTACAAAATATTTTATTTTTATATTTATATATTAATTTTATAATTTTTATTATAATATATATATATATATATGTAATATTTTATAATTTTTTTTCTGATCGTGCAGACATCGATTAGGCATCAAAAAGGAAATAAAACTGAAGAAATAGAACGAAATAAAGAATAAACAAGAGAGAGAAAGAAAGAAAAAGAAAAAAAAGAAATAGAGATATATACAGACAGAGAAAGAAGGGGTAGTTTGAATCATATCGAAGGGTGAAGACCGATACACAGAGGGAGTGGGTGTACAGGGTTTTGCTTGAGTATTTGGTAGACAGTAGCTGTCTGTCAGTCAGGACTCCCTAGTAGAGTTACTTCAGCGAATGTATTGTCAGAATAAACCTTTTTTCTCCCCTCCCCCCCCTCTCTCTCTCTCTTTCTTTCTTGCTTTTCCTTCTTCTTCTTCTTCTTCTTCTTCTTCTTCTTCTTCTTCCTCTATTCCTCTTTCTCCTCTTCCTCTTCTTTTTTTTAGTATTTCTTTCTAAGAGAACCCTCACCCTCTATACCCTCTAACATTCGAGACTTATCGTCTAGCATTGCGAATCCAGCGCTTTCTCGAATCCACCGGGGGTTTCCTTTCAAAAGGTACAGAGATATCCTTCGACGATATCAAACCACCGTTCAATGGACCACTGATTCAGATAGGATTTAGTAATTTTTTTTCTTTTTTTTTTTTTTTTTTTTCTTTACCTCCTTCACCTTCTTCTCCTCGCCGACCGATCTTCCAACCCCCACACATGCACGTCCTTTTCCCTCGTGCACGTTTTTCTTTCTCTTCTCGTCAAAGCAACGAAGCAACCTAATCTAAGGCTTCCATCCGTTGTCCAAAACGGGCCAGTCGCATTAGATCGCATAGGTATACATTTATGGGATGGACGGGGAGTGGGGGATTGCGGATTATTCTATGAAATCGATTAATCCTTATTGTATTGTAGCAAGGGATATATAGAGATTCAATTTTTTACTTACTTACTTTTTATTTGTTGTTTCTTTTTTTTTTTTTTGTTATCTTGAATTAGTTCGTTCTTTTTATCGTTTATTTTGTTTTTATTTTTTTATTTTTCTTTTGGCTTTTTGTTCTTCCTTTTTTCTTTTTTGCGTTTTTTTTTTTTTTTAATTAATTAATCATGCTCGTCACCGTAAAAGAAATTCGTTCGGTGAAAATTCATCCGAAGAAATTTTTTTTTAAGTATCATTGCATTGCAAGCATTATTACATTGTGATCTTTTATCGATTGGTATCTATTTGATTCGGGGAAGAGGGGGGGGGGCAGCAATAGCAGTAGTTTGAAATATTTGTTCGATTATTTTCAAGTAAAATGTGATATAATATCGATATTTAGGAGTATATCGATAATTGACATTTGATCATTTATACTAATTTATACTAATAAAATATATATATATAAATGATTATTTAATTTACGAAAATATTTATAATATAAAAAGATACTTTTATTCGTTTTATTTATTTTTACTTGTTTTTCTTTTTAATTTAATTTATATATATATATATAGAATATATACATAGAATGGAATATATATATATATATATTCTATTCTTCTGTCCTTCTTTTTTTACATTTTTCTTTTTTCTTTTTCCCCTTTCAATTTATTTTCATTTTTTTTTATAAAATAATTGGCAGTTCGTATTATCAAATTCGATAAATGTGTGCGTGCGTGTGTGTGTGCATGCGTGTGTGTGTGCGTGTGTGTGTGTATGCGCGCGCGTGAATGATTATTTACTTTACGAAAATATTTATAATATAAGAAGATACTTTTATTCTTATTATTTATTTTTATATTTGCCTTAATTCGTTTTTCCTTTTTAATTAATTTATTTATTTACATACACATTTATATATTCTGTTCTTTCCTTCT